ATAAATAAATAAAAACACAACAAAGAAATAATAATAGTAAAAAACAAAAAAAAACTTTTTCAAGATGTGGATTAAAGTCCCTATCAGTTATCTCTTTTTTGTCTTGTAGGAGCACTTCAAACCAGATTGATGGCAGGATGGAATACAGCTTCCAGGACGGAGATGTCATACAACCAGTCAGCTTCCTCAATGAGCTACGTCTACCAACCACTACAACAGTGTTTCCAGAAACAACATTTGGTTTCTCTGTAACTCCTTCAAACCTCATGTAAGTGTTGGATTTCTATTTTGAGAACAATGAAAATTGGAGAAGGAATTTTATTGCAAAAATCGGATGTACATTAAACAAAAGTGGTTATATTTACAGATCTGGTTCAGGAGTGGTCACAAGCAAGCTGGTGTTCAACTCCTCATCTCCAATCCCCAGTGAATCTCTGGTCCTCAGTGCTATCAAAACTCTCCGTAATTCCAGAGAGTCACAGCTCAATGAATCGGTGAAGGTGGTGAATGTCACTTATGAGAGTAAGTGTCATCATTTTCACTTTAGAAGATTTTTAAATGGAATTGAGCAAAACAGCAATGAATGTCAAACTTTCACCCAATCAAAAATAACAATTTCTTTCCAAACAGAAATTTCAGAATCCTCCTATGCAGTCATTTTTAAGTTTAATATGAGTGACATCAGCATGCCAAGGGACTCTGGACTCAGAAATAACATCTACCTGCAAGTAGAGAATACCATTAATAAAGCGGTAAGCATTCACCATTTACCCATTTAAATTTGTAGGCCTCGTGCAAATATTCCTCAGAGTTTGATTCATGATTTGAATTTTCTCCTTCAGCTGAACACTCTTCTGAATGAACCTAGCAGTCCAAATTTACAACCCAAACCATCCATCTTCAAGTATGATGAGTCTATTTCGTAATCTTTTTTTTTCACATGTAAATATATGAAAATAAAAAAATAAATTTCCTAGAAAATTCTCAGTGATTGTTCTGTGCACATGCAGTGATGTCCTGATACTGTATGCAACAGATAGTGTATATTGTTGTTTTTCTATAGGAGTACATTAAATCAGATTGAGGGCAGTATGGTGTACAACTTCCAAGATATAGATGTCATAAAACCAGTCAACTTCCTACAGACACTTAATTCACTGACAGGTTTGTCAAACTGAAAATCAAACATTACTAAATATTTTTTTTTTTAATGTGTTGCTCCACCAACACCAAATACTATAACTGCAAGCCTCCTCCACTAATCACTACTTTATTTTACAGTCTTAACGACAGCCAGCACTCTGACAACAAGCATAACTTCTCCACTAACATTGTAAGAGCCATGATTCCATTGTCATTTTGTAAAGGCCAGTTATTGTCTGAATCTGTCTTTACATTCCTGTTATTTTATCATCTTTGGTAGGTTGGGGACGATTTATATAAATATTCGATTGGTGTTTAACACATTGGGCCAAATACCAAGTGAAACTATCATTCTACAGTTGGTCAAATCTTTGATTGGCCCACGTTACAGAACTAAAGAAGTCTCAACACCAACCCAGGATGCAAGCCTTGTGAATGTCACCTATACAAGTGAGTTTTTTGCTCTCCTTTTTAGGCTCCTTTTTGTTCTGAATATGACATTTGAATTATGCATATTGTGTAGACCTGTAGTAGCTTGCTTTTAATTAAATTTTTTGCACTCGCATATAACCACACAACTAATAATTTGTGTTGTTTGTTTAAAGAAATTAATGATACCTCCTATGCTCTCACATTTGGATTTGAAATCAGCAATATATCCATGTCTGAGAAAATTGAACTAAGGAATGAAACTTACACTTTAATCAAAAGCACTATAAATGGATTGGTGAGTTGGAGACACTTTGATTCAATGGTTTCCCACAAAAACTTGCTATGAAAATGAATATGCCTTATTCTAATCACATTAACTTTAACATTAATAAACATTACTCTCTGTATTTATTACTGCACTCTCCAGCTTATCGAAATCCTAAAGGACCCCTCAGCTTCTCAGTTTGATCTCCAGCACATTGAATTGAAGTAAGTTCTGAATCTGAAGAAATGTCTTCCCTGATAGCACACGTACATCAGAGAGACGTCTATTTGACATCTGCATTTACATCTGCAAGACGTATTTTTTTAGTGTTTGCTCATCTGCAATACGTCTATAGGACGTTTCCTATCAGATGTCAAATAGACGTTTAGAAAATATCTTTAAGATGTTTATGATTTAGAATGTATGTAAAACTGACATCTTAAAGACATCTATCAGATGTTTGTACACAGCAGATGCTTTCCAGATTAAGCGATCTTTAACAGACATCTTGCAGATGTGCGTGTGCTATCTGGGTATATGATTGTACAAAATCTGCTTTTATCGAGTAGTTTTTAGTGTGAGTAGATGGCTTGTGAGGGAAGCCGTATGGTTTTTTGATAACCACTTTTGTTCCTCTTTGCATGTTTGAATCTCCACACAGCGATAATAGCACAGTGATTCTGGCCAGTGTTCAGTATGTTTTCTCAGAAAGTGACTTGAACACAAACAGCACCTTTGTCAAGGAATTATTCAAAGCTAATGAAGGTATTACCACATCCACACCTGCTATGTGACATTCAGAGGCGGACAAAGTACTCAACTCCATTACTTGAGTGAAAGTACAGATACTGCTGGTCAAATATTACTCCAGTCACATTTTATATGCCTTGCTCCATAAATACCCCATACTATAATTTAAAGCTTCTCCACTAATCATTACTTTATTTTACAGTCTTAACGACAGCCAGCACTCTGACAACAACTTCTCCACCGAACTTGTAAGAGCAATAATTCATTTTCTCTTTACATTCCTCTTTATTACCATCTTTTGAAAATAGATGGTGATATGAAATAAATCATCCAAATAAATAAATGTATCATCTCTTGCAGGCTTGGGAAGGTGATCATATACATCAGGCTTGTGTTTAGAACGCGGGGTACTGTACCAAGTCAGAATAACGTTATACATGTAGCTAACACTCTGTTGAATGGAATGAAACTGAGAACTAAACGAGCCCTTACAACAAAAGATCTGACTGAACTTGTGAGCTTTGTGAATGTCACCTATACAAGTGAGTTTTTCTCTCCTGTCTTTTTTGTTGTGCATATAACATTTGAATGCAAATGGTGTACATTATGTAGTAAGTTTTTATAGCTTCCTTTGAAGGAAAATCAGTATACCTGAATGGATAAGTGAAATTTAATCGTCCACATATTACCACTCCACAACTAATTATTGTTTTTTTTGTTTTTTTTTTCTAAAGAAATTGATGATAACTCCTTCTCTCTTAACTTTGGATTTGAAATCAGCAATGTGTCCATGTCTGAGAACCTTGAATTCAGGAATGAAACCTACAAAGTGATCCAGAAATATATGAATTCATTTGTGAGTTCCAGACACTGAGGAATTGAGAATAGAGAAATTGCTTTATTTCAGTCACATTAACCATAATATATTAATTAATTAATTAATCAATAGAAATGTATTTCTGCATTTCAGGTATCCACAATCCTAAATAAAACAACAACTACTGACTTTAATTTCAATCAAATCATTTTCAAGTAAGTTCTGGCTTTATTTCAAGTAGTGTTTTAATGATTTCAAGAGATCTGCTTTCATCGAGTAGATTCTGAGTGAGGGAAGGAAAGATCAGTTTATTTATTTTGCTTAATATCTCATTGTACGTTTTCCTTTCTCCACAGGGGTAATTCCTCCGTGATTGAGGCCAATGTAGAGTATGTTTTCACAGACAGTGACATCGGCAGTTTCGGCTTGGTCTTAACTTTGCTCGGACTTACTACAACAGCTGCTCCAACCACCTTTTACCCCACAATTCTGAGCACTACAATCTCAAACAACGGTACTAATGCAGCATGGATTGTGGCTATCATTGTCCCCTGTGCTATTGTCATTGGGCTCATACCTTGCTGGATTCTTCTTTGCGTAAGTATTATGATGACTGAATGTCAAATATGTGCATTGGAAGTAAAGTGATTAATGACATGTTAATGATTAACATGCAAGCTGTACTCTTTTGTCTTAAAATAGACTTAAATGTGCCTTTTTATTTGGTTTATAATGTACAGCTGATTAAAAGCATGTTCCCTTCCATGATGCTAACTCTCACTTTGTCTGTTTATGTGTTTAGTGTTTGCTGTGTGGTTGCTGTGCAGCAATCAGAAGACGTTGGCACAGAAGACGGTCGTACAATGTGCAGTACACCACTCGAAACAGCATCTTCTAGAGATATTTAAGAACAAACTTTGACGCTTAAAAGTGTATTAATTTCCCTGTATTGCTGGGCATACAGGACCTCTCCAAATGTGAGGCAACTGTGATTTTAAAAAACGACTATTTAAGGAATGATTTTATCTATTTGAAAATTCTGTTATGTAAAGTAATGATGATCTTGTTTTCTAGATGAAATATTTATTTGGTAGTATGTATATAATGTTAAGGGACAAATGAACAGAACTTTGTCCACCTTGTTGAAAACAACCACCCCATTTCAATTTGTTGTTATCACAGAAAGGTATTTATCTTAAAATTACTTAAATACCCTAGATTTAACAAACATCTCTAGGTTACGTATGTAACCATGGTTCCCCGAGGGAACGAGACGC